AAAAAAAAAAAAGATATTCACTCTGGCAAGCCTGGTAGTTTAACAAAACTGTATCTGATTATTTAATCTAGGTTAAACTTCTGGCTCTCTCACAGTATACTCTACTTGAAGGTAAATGCTTAAAGCTGCAAAATTTTAACAGGTAAATTTGTACTATGGAAGCTTCTTCACAAGTTCTACCAAGTAAAGACATGCTCTGATTCAACAAGCTGCCTGCCACACCTTGTTAAATAGTAGGAATGTGCTAACAATACAAAACACAACTAAATTACTCTTAGAGGACAATCTACAAACCAAGTTCAAAAAAGAATATCTTCAAAGAAGATATACCCCCAAAGAATATCCACCTGAAAAAGCCAAGTAACCAAAAACTAATATAAAATTCAGTCACCCTAATCTCCCTAGTTTTAGCATAAAAAGTCAGAACAGAAAAACATCTCCTAAGCAGTATTTTTAAATCTAACATCACTGTTCTTGAACTCCAAAATGTAACTATAAAGAATCTATATTCAAATATCCTTAACACACTACTGGTGTGGTGATGCACACCTGTAATCCCAGCATGGTGGGAGGCTGAGGCAAGAGGATGCAACTTCAAGCCCAGCTGGGGCAATTTTGAGAGATGGTGTCACAAAATAAATTTTAAAGGGGTGGGGGTCGGGGGGAGTAGTGCCTGGGGCTGCAGCTCCAGTACCCAGGGCTCTAGGTATAATTCCCAGTACTACCAAAAAAACCCCCAAAACCCACCGACTTTGTACAACAAAGTAAAACAAGTCAAGGTTATGGTGTGCACAACGACGTGATCTAACTTAAATGACACATTTTTCCTCCTAATAAAACTAGGCAACATTTTTGCTCTGCTTATACACTGTAACATTTAAAATTTGTTTGCTTATTTACATAAAAGCAATGTTTTATGTGTCCTTTTCTTCTTGATTCACTTGCTTTTCCTCTTTTAATGTAAGTTCTCACTCATATGTATCCATCTAATCTCTGCTTCTCCCACCCCATGGATGTGGCTCTACGAATTTCCGCCCATAGGCTAAGTGACAAGCCAACCATATTAATAATATCAGAGAAACTTTAAAAAGAGAAACTATTAAAACTTACTTTCCCACCAATGCGCACTTGTGCCTGCAATTTGGCGAGTTTTTCCTGGTTCATGATAGTTTCTTTCATCTAGAAAAAGAGGAAATCTTCAGCAAGGAAGGACTAGATCACTCCAGTATTACACGCTTATTTCCCAAAGCACAAGCAGAATAAACGTCCTACACAAGCCGAGGCCTGAACCCCAAATCCACCCCATAAACCTCCAAATTTTGGCTCCGAGGGAGCCCCAAAGCACTCACTTCCCTCCCCGCTCCCGCAGCTCCCCGCCTTTACAGCCTCAGCACAGGACTCTGCCCGGAGCCTGGGTAGGAACCCCGGCCCCGGCCCCGGCCCGGCCTATCTAGGGCCTGCCCGGCCCAGCCACTCTCGGCAAGCCTCGCGGTACCTGAGGCTCCTCTCCTGCGAGGTGGAGGAAGAGACGAAAGAGAAGGGGTCGTCCCGCCCCCAGGGCAGCCGCCCCTGGCTCCCTGGCTCGACCTCGCCCCCGAAAGTCAACCTAAACAGGCGCGCCCGTCCATCGCATCGCCTTCCTCTCCTCAGCCCTGTCCCTCCCGGCCTCGCTCCTTCCGGGTACTTCCCGCCCCCTCTCCCGTCCTCCTCCCACGCTGACGTCCAAAGCCTTTTTGTACCTTGTCAGAACGGTTATGGGGCAGCGCAGGGGACTAGGGCTGGCGCTCAGGGGGGG